TTTTTTTTTTTTTTTTTTTTATCTTTTATATTCTTATAAAATTTTGTAAATCCCAATGTTAAAACGTAATACTTTAAATTTGGAAATAAAAGAAAAAAATTTAAAAAAGGAAGAATAATATATTCTTGTTTCGTATGTTTTTGCCACAGAGTACAAAGTAAGTTTATCATTTAAGCTCGGTCGAGCGACATTATTGTGATTTCTTTCTACGGTTAGAGAGATTTATGCTTTTAATGATGTAATGGTCACAATCGTGCGATCTTACTATGAAAACTACAAAGCGGCGAACTGTTGCGAGTCCGAAACAGTGCCCCGTTGCTCATGTGCATATATATATCATGTATATATTATACTTATGCGAAATAAATACACATGGAATAGGAGGAAAGAGAAAAGAGAAATTACATTTTTTTTACATTCTACATTTTATTTAAAAATCTTCATGAATTTTTCCCTAAATTTGAAATTTTTTTTTTATTATTTGTCAGTTTTCTTTTTTATCTTTTATAGTTATTGATAAACTAATTCATAAAATTTAAAAGTATAATCTAACATTGTTTAGCTATTCTTAAAAAAATCGTTAGAAATTTTAATAAATTTCTTTTAAAATAATTTCTTTCTATTAATAAATAGTAAATATTTTATTTAATATTTATTGAAATAATTAACATCATAATTAATTGGATATCTCTACTACTATTAAATATTAAATACTATTAAATATTCTATTATGTAATTTAAATATTATTTTGTTATATTATTATAATCACGTAATATTTTAAAAACTTATTATTTTAGTATCGTGTTCGTATTGCTAACACGTGCATCGTAGATTTGAAATATTTGATTAGAAATATTTTCATAGAATTTTATAATTTACATCTATTTCGATATTAAAAATTACGAATTAAGAACGTTTATATACATTCATATATATTTAAAAAAAATGTATGTTTTTATTTAATCTATGATATTTTCATATCATTTATAGGTTATGTCTTTTCAATTAAATATCTATTTATTATGTATTAAAAAATTATGTCACGAATTATAACAGAATTAAGATTTTTCATAAATTTAATCTCATCAATTATTTTTATTTTTTCAGAATGACTTCAAAGGTAAAAGAAAGTGGGAGAAAAAGTCTTTCTTCTTGGATGACATGTGAAATATGTCAGAGTATTTTATCACAAAAAGATTTAGCAATACATCACACTAATTGTCCACCTAATTTTGAAATCTGGAATCACGATTTCATTTATAATAATATATTATATAGTACTGTAGAAACATATAATCTATTAGGTATATATATGTATAGATTTTATATTTATTATTATTGTATCTTTTTTTATATAAATGTTTCTTGCATAGAACAGCCAAAAAATATACATGTAAGGGCGTTTGATGATATGGTATTTATATCACAATCTGCTTTGCAATTGTGTGAAATTGCAATAGGAGATTCTGTCCTTGTAACTGTTGGAGAAAACAAAGTTGTTAAAACTGCATGGCCAACTAAAGATAAAAGTTTAACGAGTGTTTCAATAACAAAACATGGTAATAACAAAATATTTTTTATTAAACATATTATTTCCAATAGTTTTTTATTATTATATATTTCTTATAGCAATAGAATTAAATGATCTCAGAGGTTTAGTCAAGATCCAAAAATTAGATTGTTTTATTAATGCTGCTAAGGAATTTATAATTTGTAATGTTGGAAAACACATATTGCCAGAAGTAACTATAGAACTTAATATAATACTTAAAAATTATAATGAACAAAAAATATTTGCTGTAGGTAATAAATTCAGTATACCTTTTTATGGCAAGAGATTAATTTATAAAATTATCAAAATTATATCGGATAATGGTAGAGAAAATATTAATTTGCCTCAACAGTTTAAGCAATTAAATTTTGCTGATCAAATACATGATATTAAATTTTATAAAGCATTTTATAATACAAAATGGACAATTTTAAATGAAGAACAAAATAAGAAACAAGAAGAATACAAGAAAATTAAATATAAAATACAAGATATTGGAGGATATGAGAAAGTAATAGAAGATATTAAAGATGTTCTTGATATTGGTCTTGGTAAATCTCAAAATCTTGGTGATTTTTATATTAGTAAAGGAATATTATTATATGGTACTGCTGGTGTCGGTAAATCAATTATTTCTAATGCTTTAATATCAGAATATGACATCAATTCCGTCACTATTTACAGTTCAGATATATACAGTAAATCTCTAGGAGAGACAGAAAAAAAATTGCAAGATATTTTTATGGAAGCCAAAGCTAAAGCTCCAAGTATTATTTTGATAGAGGAAATTGATAGTTTATGTCCTAAACGAAGTACTTCAAGTACAGATCATGAAAGAAGAGTACTTTCACAATTGATTACACTTTTTGATGACATACAAAATACAAATAATAATGTAGTCATACTTGCTACAACTTCAAAGTTAGATCTTGTAGATAGTTCTCTTAGAAGACCTGGTAGAATAGACAAAGAATTCGAAATTTATGTACCTACTCCCAATATGCGCGCGGATATATTTAAAAAAATGTTATCAAAAATACCAAATACTTTATCTTTAGAAGATATACAAAATATTGCATTTGTCACTCATGGTTTTGTTGGCGCCGACTTATACGGTTTATGTTCTCAAGCAATTTTAAATGTTGTAAAGCGTCAACCGAAAACAAATATTGCTACTGATTTTTCGATCAAAGTAACTTTATCAGATTTTAATCGTGCTTTGACTGTTATAAAACCATCAGCTATGAAAGAAATTTTAATAGAAGTACCAAATGTTAGATGGTCAGATATAGGAGGACAAAAAGACTTAAAATTAAAATTAAAACAAGCTATTGAATGGCCATTATGTCATCCTGAAGTATTTTTCAGAATGGGTATAACTCCACCTAAAGGTGTTTTGATGTTTGGACCACCAGGTTGTTCTAAAACAATGGTTGCAAAAGCTCTTGCAACAGAAAGCAAAGTAAATTTTTTAAATATAAAGGTAAAGTTTGATTTAAAAATCATTATTTTAATTCTAAAAAAAAATGATAAATTCAATATTTTTAGGGACCAGAATTATTTTCAAAATGGGTTGGTGAATCTGAAAAAGCTGTAAGAGAAGTATTTCGAAAAGCAAGACAAGTTTCACCTTCTATAATATTTATTGATGAAATTGATGCATTAGGAGGAGAACGAAGTTCTTCCGTAACTGTGGGAAGTAATGTACAAGAACGTGTTTTAGCACAATTATTAACAGAACTCGATGGCGTCACTGCATTGGGCAGTGTTACTTTAGTAGCAGCAACTAATCGACCTGATAAAATTGATAAAGTTAGCTACATTATAATAAATAATTAAATCTTATACAAATAATTTTTTATTAATTAAAATATTGTTTTTTTATAGGCACTTCTTCGACCAGGTCGTTTAGATAGGATAATATACGTGCCATTACCTGATTATGAAACAAGACAAGAAATTTTTGATATAAAATTAAGAAACATGCCAATCGCGGAAGATGTACAAATTCAAGATCTAGTAGATCTTACAGAAGGATATTCTGGAGCAGAAATCCAAGCAATTTGTCATGAAGCTGCTATCAAAGCACTTGAGGAAGATTTAAATGCTACTATAATTACTAAAGAACATTTTAAAGCAGCATTAGCCATAATTACTCCTAGAACTCCACCATCTTTAATAAATTTATATAATAATTATATAAATAAAATATATTGACATTACAAACAATTTGTTTCAATATAATTGAATTTGTCTATTTTAGCAAGATTATTAATTATCTATCAATATTCTTCTATTATTTTAATATCAAACTTCAGATTTTCGGAAATTAACAAAATTTATAAGTTGTATAATTATATTATCAAATGTCAGTAATCGTAAAATGTATACGACCTTATGGTAAAAAAGATTTAAAACAGATGATTGAAAGGTATGATAATTTTATACTTGATAAATACAATG